CATGGTTCCAAAGTCAAAACTAAATTTCAAAATACAAAATAAATCTTTAAAATGGAAAGCAAATAAATCTACCTTGGCAGATGGGAAAGAATTATTTCAAGTGACTGAAAAAACAGTCGGACTGTATTGAGCCTAAGGATACAGAGAAATCTTCAGCCTATCCTCTGTAGGAAAAAGCCTGCTCCGTGTGGTAGAGCTAATCTTAATAATATGGATACTATTATTGCTGTTATTTTGAATCATTAATACAGGTAGTAGGTTAAAGCAAATAGGTAATTGTTAGGCTGTTACGTGTTCCGTGTGAAAGAGAAACAAAATTTAAAAATGTCAAAACTTGTACTCTCCATTAGATTGGAAATATAGATTAAATATGCCCTTTTTCTAAAAATACAAAAATATTTATATCTCAGCACTAACCACAAAAACGGCTTAGAAAGCATACTCAAAACTCCAATTTCAACTCACTGCTATCAATTCTGACTCTTAACACCCTCCCTGTGGTTTCTGAGGGAGCTACTGGAGGATTTGAACCACCAGAAACCGCCAGCGTTTTGGTCAGCCGCACAGCCTGTTATTGCCTACAGTCACTAAGGAGGCTTTAGAAAGGGTACCAGTCAGTAGCAATTTGCTCCCCCAGCTCCTAAACTGTGGTCTCTAAATGTTCCCATTAAAAGTTATAACCAGGACTCCTCCTCCAGTAAATTATTCCGTGGAGTCTGAGGCAGAATCTGGACAAGGGGAGGTGGACGAAACTATTGCAGTCTCATCAAGATGACTATTTGAAGGCGCTGTAAATGCCTCACACAGGATATTTTGAGCATCAACATACTTATGATTTTGATGACTTGAAACATGCCAGATACACAGAATATGCAACATCACAAAAATACCCACTACCGCCACTAAAAAGAAAGAAAAATTTATTGCTCACCTTGGAAGTTTAAGACCTGAATTCATTATTTTGAAAGTCAACAAAGTAATCCTGCTTGCCCTAACTATAGACTCATGTCGTTGATTTGTGTGTACTGCCAGCCAGAAGCCACTCACAGCTGACCCTCTAGATTTTCAGAGCCTGAAAATCACAGGAGATGAGACTGCCATTGCCCATCTTTCTCCTACGGAGCAGCTGTTGGATCTGAACCACCCACCTTTAGGTTGGCAATGCACCGCCTTGCCGCCAAGCCACCACAGCTCCCTGTGTAGGTTTAAAGAGTAATGAAAAAGTTGATGAGAAAAAGAAAAGTTGATGAGAAAAGTTTGTCGTAGGTGGATCACAGCTAGTAAATGCAGAAGAAATTATAGCATCTTTCAAAAAAACCATCATTTTACAATCCTTCTGGACAACAATCACCAACGTCTGTTAAGACAATTACATGATCTTGGGGGAAAAAAACCCTCTTGCTCTTGAAAAAAAAAAGACCATTAGATAAAAAGATGATGAAGAGTTGACAGCTGAGGAATCAGGCCCGCCCTTGAGCCCACTGGTCAACCTCAATCACACTGAAGGCAGAGTGATACAGCCACAGTGGAAAACAACAGCATGTACTCGACAGCAAGTCTTCTCACAAAAAGGTGTCTGCGACTCTCAGGCAGCCTCGAGCACTAACAACCAGCTTACAGGAAGACAAAGTGCAGAAAACACAACTCTCAACTACAGATGTCTTAGTAACTTGTGCAAGTAAGAAGCAGGGAGGAGCAGTGGAAGACCGAGTATTAAACATTTAAAGGGACTTAAGAACTGTCCACAACTATCTGGCTGTTGCAAAGAACCTAGAAAGCACAGTCTGTGGGGAGCTGCCTTACTAATCCAAAGGTATACCCTTTTGATGGTTTGAATCTACCCTCAGGAGAAATATAGGCAACCTCCTTCAGTGACACAGCCTCTGAAAACCCACTGGAGTGTCAGCAATGAGTCAGTTTCTACTCAATGATGATAAAAGAGACAGCAAGAGCATCAAAGCAGAAAACTAATACCTGTCTCAAAAGACACACAACCAGAGTCCTACTGGGCACAAGGATGGCTGTTCAGAAAGCATGCTTTAGAAAAGGCGGGTCTTTGGAAAAGGACATCATGCATGAGAAAGCAGAAGGCCAGCAAAAAAGTGTCACATGGAGTGACACTGTTCCTGGAACAGGTGGCTTAAACGCAGGGGAGGTTGCGAGGACCACGGGGGACCCAGGGTGCTTTGTTCTGTTGAACTTGGAGTCCCTACAACACATCTTGAAGGCATCTAAACCACAACTTTGAGCTCAGGGATTGATGAGAATGACTCAAAGTCAAGAACCATGAACTATGCAGTACATGAGGTGAGTCATGTCCAACGTGGCCAGAACAAGAAAGAGCTGAAAAACCAGAAAGAATAATGCAGAAAATGAAGCTGGATCACAACAAAATAAGAACATTTGGGGGAGCAGCTTTCCTGAGAAGTAGAGGAGGGCGATGGGCATCATGTGGCGTGGGAAGAAGAGGGAACTGGAGAGAGAGAAGGGGAACTGGGGTGCTGGGCTGTCAACCTGAACCAGGCATAACACCCCTCCCACAATCCCATCTGCAAAATATATTGAAAGAAGGGCTTGGAAGGGTCCTTTCTTCTTTTTCTCCCAACACATTCCTGGCTATAAGGAAGATTATGTGGTGGTTGGTGATTGCCGTCGCGTCGAACACGACTCATAATGACCCTATGAATAAGGGACCTGATGCCTTTCTGCAACTCTCGTCAAGGATGATCATACACAGTGGGAAAAGAAAGGGCATCATCAGACACACATTTTAAACATGAATGGATCAAATCAAATACCTTGGCTTCTAGGGAACAAGTATCTCCGTGATCCCTGGGGAATCCCCATTACACGCCGGAAGGTTAAACAGAAAATGAAGACGCTCCCTCTGGCCAGTCAGAGTGTGAACAGGGAGACACTCGGGCATGAAGGAGAGAAACCCAGCAGCTGCTGCTCCCTGGGGCCTGGCACACATGGCAGCTACCCACCCACATCCCCCACATTGGCTGTCCCCCGTTCCCTAGACTGACAGGGAGCTAGTCGTCAGCAAGGCCCAGCATGACATGTGCAAACGAACAACTGACAGCTTGCTTTGTTCACTGAGACACACACAACTCATGCACCATCTCTCAACACCCTCCCATGAAACATTCTTGAGGTAGATGCAATTATACCCATTTCACAGCTGAGGAAAACCAAGGCCCAGAGGTGTCAAGTCACTTCCCTGAGCAGCAGGGGAAGGCCTGCTGGTCAGAAATAGGATCCTTGTTCCCTGTCGGAGACTCACAATCTCAAGACAGCACTTGAGCCCTGGGTGGGCCAGAGTCCCGCCTCCTCTGTGAAGACTTCCCTAACAGGAGGAGTATCCCTAATCCTGGGGTCAAAGGGCATCTTGCCTCTGTCATGAGGGGCAGGTGGACACTTCTGATGGTCTTTCCTCAGATCAACAGGCCAGCAGAGATGGACGGCCCTACTTCTCCAGGTCAGTTCTTAAGCTGCCCAGCAGGGAGGACAGCCCCAGGATTTCAGGGGTGAGGCCGGCCAACAGGAAGCCCTGCTGAGACACCCAGCCAGGCCACTCCCACCCAAGCTTCAACTTCCCCCTTGGTGTTCACAGAAACTCAGACTTAGTTTAAACCTGGGTTGTGGTTCCTTCTTCAAAGACCTGAATGGAACCAGGCCCACCCAGCTCCCTGAGCTAAATAAATGACATTAAAATCAGCCTCCACTAAACCTATTTTGAAACTAGCTCTAATGGTCCTTATTCATTCACCTCACATGTGAACCTTTGTGAATCTATGATTTTTTTTCTCCCTGTCGCTGAGTTGATGCTGACCCTGCAGGACAGACCAGGACTGTCCCATAGGACTCCAGAGGCTGTAAATGTTTACAGGAGCAGCCTGTCATGTCGTTACCCTGAGGAGTGGCCGGCCGGTGGCTTCGAACTGCTGACCTTTGGGTTAGCATCCCAACTCAATCACTGCACCATCAGGACTCCCTCTGTCACAGACACAGCTCCATAACCTTCAGAGGAAAGGACACTTGTGTTGGGAGGCAGAAGACCTGGCTTGTGGCCCAGACTCTCTCTCCCCCTCACCTTCTATGCTGCCAACAGGCCCTCTGGGCCTCAGTGCCTTTACTTCTAAGTGGGGAACAGCAGCTTGTCCCCTAATTACCTCACTCAGTGTTCTATAAAGCAAGGCGTGGGAGGAAAACTCTCTTGGAGTCCCTAATCAGCATGTTCCCGTCATCACCACCATGCTGCTCGTACTTCCTGCCATCTCCCCCAGTTCCCTAAGCTCTTGGGGTACAGACCCCCAAAGCCTGGCACAGGGTGGGACCTGTGGGTCCCAGTGGGTGTTGCAGACACTCTCAATAATGGGGACTCTGATGTGACCCACTCTCTCCAGTAGCCAGAGGGACTCTCACCTGCCTGCTCTTTCCCCAAAAAGGCTCTGGAACAGCGATGACGCAGGAAGCCTCCCTATGTCCCAAAGCTGATTTAAGAAACACACCTGTTCCTCTTTCCCTATACTTGGCTTCCGAGAAGGGAGCCTCCGTTCTCCCGTACCTCACCTTTCCCCTGTGACTCACTTCACATCCTAAGCAACACACACACGGAATGGGACAGCAGCCACCCTGCAGGGCAGAGTACAACTGTCCAGGAGGGATTCCGAGGCTGTGTGTTTGCATGGGAGCAAACTGCCCCATCTTTCATCCACGGGAGCAGCTGGTGAACGTTTGCCTTTGGTTAGAAGCTAGAGGCTTTAACCACCCCGACACCAGAGCTGCTGGGATATGCCCCAGGGGCTGCACACATGGATACCAAAGGGCAGCTGGCCATCTACACACCTAACCAGTCTGGACTTGGCAGCTTCACGATGCATCGGGTGCTCAAACCAGGCTGTGATCAAGGGCGTGGTGACAGGCTGGGCAGGGGAAGCAAGCAAACCACTTGGAAGAAGTGAGGAGAGGGCAAAGGGCAGGGCTGGAGTCGGGGGTCAGGGGGCCCTGTGCAGGATGAGCTCCGTGATCTCCGCCCTGCTCCCCAGCCTCATGGGGATACCGTAGTAAGCCGTGCCTGGGCTGACATACACGAATGTGGTCTGGGCCACACGGTAGAGCCCAGCAAAGAAGGGGTTCAGGAGGTAGGCTGCCACGTTCAAGGGGAAAATCTGTCCTGCGTGCGTGTGCCCGGACAGGACCAGGTTAATATCTGGCCGCATCTGAAGGGCCCTCTTGGCAGCCAGGGGCTGGTGGGCCAGCAGGATGGTGGCGTGGTCTGGGCTGCAGCCCCCCAGAGCCTTGACGAGGTCCATGCCGTGGCCGGAGTAGTGCATGACGTCTGCTTCGATGTCGTCCACCCCGGCCAAGCAGATCCAGTCCCCCTGCTCACCTCCTTCATGCTGGGCCCCGGTGGCTGAAATCTTCACATTCTCATTGTGGAGGGGACGGACGTTAAGTGATTCCAGCAGGGTGAACCAGTTACTGACATCCGATGTGTAATATTCGTGGTTCCCAGTGACGAAGTAGGTGCCCAGGCGTGACTGCAGCCGGCCCAGGGGGGCGACAGCTGTCCTCAGGATGGCCGCTTCCGAGTCCGATAGGTCGCCCACGATCACCGTGACGTCAGGCTCCAGCGCATTCACCATGCTCACGAACATCTCCATCTTGGTCCTGCCCACCGTGGGACCCAGGTGGATGTCCGAGAGCAGCGCGATCTTGAGGTTGTCCATGGCCGCGGGCAGCTGGTGGATGGGCACCTCCACCGTCTTCACAGCTGGTGGCTGGGCGGCATTGAGAAGCCCCGCCACGCTGAGCACCAAGGTCACAGCCACAGCCAGGGCGGGCCTGAGCGCCGGCCTCCTGGCCTTGTTGAGGCCGCCCACCGCCCTGCCACTGCGCCAGGCCAAGAGCTGCGAGGCCTGCTCCATGGCGCTGAGGATGGCGAGGAAGAAGACCATGATGATGTAGGCGCCGAGGCAGGAGTAGGCGGCCAAGGAGAAGAGATAGGGCTCCTCGGCCACCAAGAAGAGCATGGTGAAGAAGCTGGAGTGCGCCAGCGCCAGGAACGTCACCACGGCCAGCTTCCAGAGCCGAAAGCAGGCCGACTCGGCCAGCGGGGAGTGCCGGAGGTCGCTCACCGCGCTGCGCCAGATGTACAGGGAACCCATGAGCATGAGGGAGTTGGCGAACAGGGCGAGCTGCAGGCGCAGCAGCCACCGCCAGGCCCTGAGCTCCAAGTTCTCGGCCAGATACGAGCGGGAGACCATCATGGACATGAAGACAGTGCCAGCAGCCAGGGCAGCCTTCACGCCCAGGGGGAGCTGCCTGAGGGTCGCCATCGCCTCTGCTCCTAGGAGACTCCTGAGACTGGACAGTGGCCAAGAAGAGGTTTCCAGGTCAACTCCGCCTGCAACCAGGAACCGGCGTCAGCTTTGTGGGATATTAGATCGTCCTTGTCCCCCTTCCAAACCTGGAGGTCTCCCCAACCAGCCGTGGAGCCAAGCCACCAAGACACCAGCCAGTCACTAAACTTTATTATTAAACGCAAACATGCAGGATGGTGAGACATGATGAGTGGACTGCATCTTCTCACCTACAGTTTTTGGTATATTTAGGTTCTTACAAGGCTACCCAACTCCATCCCAAATCGTTACTCAAATCAGGCTGTGAAGCAGGTATCTTATCAGGACTGAATTTTTACGATCAGAAACTTCCACATTAGCAGCTGTCAGAGTATGGTCCAGGGGGGCCTCCTCCCCTCCAGAATATTTTCAGGGAGATCATGAAATTAAGACAATTTTCAAAGAATGCTAAGCCATGATGTCCTATTCTGTTCTCATTCTCACGTGGGTGGCCTTTTTCAGAGAGGCTGCAGGATCATGTGATATAGCTGCAGACATCAGAATAAGCAAATTCTGTCGTCTATTGATACACGCATGAAGGAGGAGATTTGCAAAAACGTAAAAGCAGTGCTGCTCGTCAACAAAACGTAGAGGGAAATGTTACTCTTTGTCATAAAAGTGCTAATTCTTTCAACGTGTTTAATGTTTAACTAAATCACCATTTTTTCCCAATGCTGATAATTTTATTGGTACATTAAAGAGAGGTTTTTACTTGTTTCGTTCCAATGTCTTGGCTTTCTGACGGAGCATCATCTTGTGATGCAATGCCAACCAGTAAGTTCCAGAGGACTGGGGTGCTTGTCTTTGGGGTTTGGGGGCCCAGTTCCTCATGGTGGTGGTCTCTGATGCCTTTTTTAAAAATTCTTTTTAAAATTTTATTATTTTTGTGTGTGTGTACCGTCAAATCAGACCTGACTGGCACAGGAGGAGATTGTCCCTCCTCCAGCAGAGCATCTGGTGGATTCAACCCGTGCACCTCTGGGATTGCAGTGCAGCTTTTTGCCACTAGGCCACCAGAGCTCCCTGAAATAAATTAACTTTGAAAGAAAACTTTTCGGCTTTCATGTCTAAGGCATCTAACATTGGAGAATTGCTGTTCTAAAGAAATGGAAACTAGGAAACAATAGCAAGCTAGAACAGACCCACAGCTCTCCTCCTTCAGCTCCCCACCCTGTGGAACATCTAGACACCTAATAGGGAGCTCGGGTGACGTGGCTGCAGGGAGCTGGGCTACTAACACAAACGCTGCACCTCCCCGGTCAGAATCTACCAGCAGCAGATGGCTAATCCTCTCCCTTGTGAGTTCCAGCCTCAGAAACACAATGGCTGGTCAGCTATGAGTTCCTTCAGACTCCATGGCAATGAGTGGAGGTTCTGTGGACAGCTGATGGAATTCTTCCTGGAGGAGCAGCCAGCCTCCCTGCGGGGCTTCTGTGGGCGTAGCCACAGGGCACTCACCCCTCACTGAAGCTGCACAAGATTAATGCACCCACTATCTCAAGGGGCTGCCTGTTCACTGGCTCTTCCTCCCTAAATCCCCTCTCCCACATATTGTTAAATTCTCTCTTTCTCTCCCTACCCCTTGAAAGTGACCAGTTCCACTTCCATTAGGTTACTCATTTGAATCCAGTGCTTCTCCAAGAGTCCCAGACAAGACATCAAATAAAGCCCAAGTCGCTGATACCAAGTCAACTGCAATCTCAAGACAAAGCAGAACCACCTTTCAGGGCTTGCTGGGCAGTAGAGCTTCACCAAGACGCCACAGCGTTCTCCGGCAAAGCCATCTTTGTTGAGTTATAATCACACACGTGAACTATGCACCACCAGAGTGACTTCAGCAAGTTTAAAAAGTGAGGCTAGAATACTGCATTGGGGCAGAGGGTGAGGAGGAGAGAGAGCAAAGAATTTGAGGTGACCTTATTTTTTTTAAGAAAGTCTCTAGAGAACTATTTTTCCAAATACTTGGGATTTTTTAACCTTGGGTTTGGATAAATGGAGACTAGGCACTTAACTGAAACACTTTTATCAAAAGCTTTCATTAATAAATCAGTGGACTCAATTAAATGCCACCTGGCGGGGAGCTCTGGAGGCCTAATGGTAAAGAGCTGCGTTGCCAGGCCAAAGGCAAACGGTTCGAAGCCACCAGCTGAATGGGAGAACGAGGGGCAAGATCCTCCTGTGCGATTTACTGCCTCTCAAAACCCGCTGGAGGGGCAGCTATGGGTCAGTTCCGACTGGACATCAACGAAAGACTAAAAGAAACCTCGGGCTCACCCCACTCAACTCCGGAGGGGTCCCAGTTACATTTCAGGACTTGTGCAGCTGCGGGGTGCCAGCATGTCCTCTCCTACTGACCAGCCTTTCCAGACAGCACTTGGAGGCCAGCACCCATCACTGTCTCGGCTCTGATCTAGCAAGGACTGGGGGCCTGAAGGGGCCTCCTCTCTCCAGCAAGGGTGTGTACCCCTACACCCCACCTGCTGGACACGCTGCCGGTCACCTGCACTCCTGTTCCTTCCCGCCCCCAAACTGGACCACCAAACCCGGAAAGGGGGCGAACGGGCGAGATGAGAAATCAAGTGACAGTGCAGGCGGCGGGGAAGGGCGAGTAGGGCGCGCACCCCGGAGAACGAACCCCGAGTGCCATCACCGGCCTCTCTGACCCTCCTTCTCCTTCCGGATCGCCCTGCGCAGCTCGGGCTGAGAAGGCGCGGGCGCCCCAAGCCGCAGCCCCAGGCGATCTGCAGGAAGGCGCGCGGCTCCGCGTGCCCCCTGGAACCGCCAAAGCTGGAAAGGCTTGGGGCGCACCTCTGTACTGCCCCCGTCTCACCGATGGATGGGAAAGCGGGTCGGAGCGTTAAGCGGCCGGGCAAATCAGCAGCGCCCGAGCCACCGGCGAGGGCGCACGGCCCGCTCCTGCCGGAGCTCGGCCTCCGCCTGCGCCCAGCCTGCCTCTAGGGGTTCCTGGGGGCTCATCCTGCCTGCCCGCGGGGCCCCGGCCAGTCACAGCCCCAGCTGGGCTGCTCCGGGCACAACCGTCCCCCGCGCGTCGCCGCGCGCAGGCCCAAGGACTTACACGGGAGCTGAGCGCCGACCCCACCAGCTGCAGCGGAAGCAGCGGCAGCAGCAGCAACAACGAGCAGACGCAGCCCGGGAGCGCCCGCATGTTCCCTTCGGCCTCTGGCTCCGCAGTGCGCGCCCAGCCCGGGGTTTGGCGTCAGCTGACCCGGGACCCGCGCGCTCCGCCCCGCGCCCGCCCCGCGCCACGCCCCCAGCTCCAGGGTGGTGGAGTCCTGCCTCTGATGCAGCCTCCCCTCCGCCTCCTGACTTCAAGGCCCTGCAGTCTGGACTTGGCCTAGAAACACTTGCCAGAAGTGAAAGATGTCTTTTTTTGAGCCCGGTCCCTGCACCAAGAACCTACTGACAGTCAAAAAGCCAAGAGACTCGAGATCTCCAAGGAACATCTAGCCTGCAGGTGCTGAAGGAAATGGATTCTCATCCACAGCTGTCAAAGAGCTCTGATCTCCCCACTAGAGCTGAAGCCCTGCACCTGGACTGCTGGTTGGCTAGACTTCCTGCGGCCTTCAGGCCTAGTGTGGAGCACTCCAGCACTGAAGATCCAGCTAGGACGTGGCAGTGACCTTAATATCCACATCAGGGACTTTATTACCCTGTTGCGGGTCTTGTCTGGAATGTTTCAACACTTACCTGGGGCCCCATCCTGCCTGCCCACTGCAGGCTTCCACTGCATCTGGCATCATGATATTCATATCCTGATTTGCTATTAGAAGGCAGTACTTGTCTGTCAGTTTGCTGTACTAAGGTTGTGAGTTGCTGTGATGCTGAGAGCTATGCCACTGGTGTGTCAAATGCAACAAGGGTAATAATCCATGGTGGACAGGTTTTACTTAGCAGAGCTCCCAGATTAAGACAGACTGGGAAGCAGGATTGGCCATCCACTTCTTTTTTTTTTCTCCTTAATGCCATGTTACCCCACTCACAATACAAACTAAGCACAAGGCCTGGGTTGAGGTGAATATGAGGTATTTCACTCTGCCTCCTCTTTCTATCCAGTCAGTGCAAGAACACAGCCTGTGGTAGGCCATCCACTTCTTAAATAGAAGGCCTCTGAAGATTCCATGAACAATGAGGGAACACAGATACAGTATTAGAGACAGAGCCCAGACTGGAAGTCAATCAAAATGAGGAGAACCAGCTTCAAACTAGTTGGAGCATAGAATGTACAAAGTATGAATGCTGGAAAACTAGCAACGGTGATATTCCTTGGAAAAGGACATCATGATTAGAAAAGTGGAGGGTCAGCGAAGGAGAGAAAGACCCTCACTCAACCAGATGGGTTGACAGTGACTACCGCAAAGGGCTTAAGTGCGTCAGAAGTTGTGAGGACGGCACAGGATAGGACAGGATGCAGATCTGTTGTTCATGGGGTTACTAGGAGTCTTGGCCAACTCGACAACAGCAATCTTTGTGGAGAGAGCTCTGATGGTGTAGGGAGTGGGTGCTGCTAACCAAAACACCACACCTCTGGCTGCTTAAATCCACCAGTAGGAGAAAGACAGACAATCTCCTCCCTAACCATTTACAGTCTCAGAAACTGGCTGGAGGGACCCTAGGAGTCAGTTCTGGCTTGGCGGCAATGAGTTTCATTGACCTCCTTTTTGTTTAGGTTGTCTTAAGTTACCCAGTTCGGTGAATCAATAACTAAATATTTCAGAACTGATGACTGAGTGTAAGAGGCTTGGAAGAGACTTTCTGTTGCAAAGAGGAGAAGTTAGCATTATTTTCAAGATTTGTTGAGGTTTTTTAATAGTCTTTAAAAGACGATTGCAGGAAGAATGGCAGGCAATCATTGCACAATACGGGAAGAAGCAAATGTCCTTAGATTTGTTTGGTCTAGGGCAGAAAGTCAAGTGAGG